ATGGTCAGGGATATAAGGAAATCCTGTTTCTCTTGCCACTTTATTTATAACTTTTGAAGCTTCAACCACAGGAGAATCAAGAAACCTAATTAATACGCACTCCTATGATTAAGTGCCCTACCCATGATTTAAACCCCCCTTTCCTCTAGCTAAAATTTAAATAAGTGCTTATTCCATGAAATACTGTACTACTCAAAGTCTTGACTAGTTACAACAATTATTGACAGAAAAATTGACACCAGTTAATAGAAGTGGAGGTAGCTAATGGTGGAAAATGACCAAGCCGTGAGGGGGCAAGGTTAACATACTCCTCTATACACTGTGGTAAATATTTGTTTTAGTATGCATTAAAATAGAGGGAGAGTATAGCACAAAAAAATAGTTTTAACTCACGTATTCCTGCAATTATAAGAATGAATACCTGGGTGAGGGAGGGTTTCCAGATGCTTTTAGAGGAGTCCATGTTAAATTCCCTTTGGTGAAAAAAACCAAGTTAGAACAACTGATAGCAATGGCATAATTTCAATGCTGATAATGTTCTTGTGTTTCCTCATGTGGGGCTTTCCTTGCTCCACACATGAAGAAGTATTTGAACAAGACAAGCTTTCTTTTTAAGAGTGAAGTTTATTCAGCAACTCAACAGTCTAATTCTTGCACTCTCACAAAAAATAATTCTATTTTAAAGCATGAACTGCATATAATTATAATATGAACAAAGAACCTTCCATCTAGGGAGTGACAATGGCAAGCATGCTTATTTAGTATGCAAAGGCATAGCACAATACCTTGGCTGCCAGATTGTTCTCAAATTTCACAATTTACCCCCAAGTTTTGCTTCTAAGCCAAATATTCATTGTTTGGACAATCTCTCAGCCATAGACATTATCATTCAATATACCAGCCACTTAGAGGGGTTAATACTAAAATAAGATTCTGTAAATCAACCAGAGATTACATTTCTTTATTTGTAAGTACACCTGTGTTCAGCATATAGAGAGTATTTGTGGCATTCCCATGATAAATTCCTCCAAATATATACAATGTGTCTCCCACTACTGCGGTTGTGTGTCCTAAGGCTTTGGGTTGACATCCTTGAGTTGGACACAACTCCCAAGATAATGTCCCTGTAAAATAACAAAGAAAAATACAATAATCATTAAAGGCTACTATTATTTTAACCCTTCAACCTTCTCTCCACATCAGCACTCCATGCTGTGACCATTTCAGCTGCAAGAGCAAGTGAATCTGTTGGCGACCAACAGATTAAAAAAGGAAAAAAAAAAAAGAAAGAGTTGCAATTATATCGTTTAGCTCACTAACTACCTCATGTAGTGCTCATCAACATGGGGGATTTTTTTTTCTTTTTGGTAGGCCCAAAATATTTGACAGAGACCCAGAAAATTTTTTAGCAGCCATCGTGATCCTCTTGATCGCCAAGAATTAATCCAACCCTCATTTCTAAACTTTCATATACAGCACTGTGGTCTAACAATGTGGTCTAGCAACCGGTAAGTGGCCTATTCACCTAGGGCTTCTTCCAGTTTCCTTGGCATGAAGCGTCTAGAAGTAAATTACTACTCCCTCCTGGATGAGATTTTAGTCAATGGCAAGGCTACCCTTGGGAGAGAGAGGCACTGTGAACGTAAGAGTTTGCCCAAGAACTCATCCCATTGACCCTACCCATGCCAGTCTCAAACCCTGAACCCTCAGAAGGAGTCCAGCACAGTAATTATTATGCTACTACATCTCCTCTACAGTCAAACAAGTTCTATCAAATTTTAACTTGACCTAAAAATTATTATACTTCAACAGTAATTAACATTAACAATGGCTTACATTTAGTAATGCCATAAGTTATACTAACCAATATCATAGGCATACAACCCATCTAAACATTCATCAGATTCTGGATAATTTGATCCACCAAAAAGATAGAGAACAGTACCAACAGCACTGAAAATTTAATAACATTCTCAAATGAGATCTTTGGTATAATGAACAAGGAAAATAAATTTGTGGACTTCACACAAGAGTCAGCGGCACAGATGCCATTTTGCCCAGTGTGAACATTTTGTTGTAGATGCACCAGATTACCCCTTTCTAGTACCCCTTAAGTCAATGAAATATTTCTGCGAAAAATGATACTTAAACATCACTTTTAATTATAAATAATTAATTGACACTTTAACATTAGGCACAAGTAGTTTGGGGTATTTCAGGTGTGAATGCATTTAGTGTAACATATACAGACTACATGCCCAGTGTTTTTTTTCTTTTGGAACTTAAATAAGCTATTTTCAAGGTCTATTATGTTCCCATAATGAAGAACTGTGGTCATAAGTCTCCTTTATCGTTTCATAAATTTGTCTGTTTGAACAAAGTTCCCTTTTGTGTACCTCAAAGTGTGTCCGTCCCTTACACAAGGAATATCTCCCAGTTGTTGCAATCTTTCCCAGGTGACCTGTATTCCAACTAATAATGAAAAAAAGGTATCAGGCATTTCCTAGTAATGAAATCCTGGATAATTTAAAGTTTAAGGAGGCTCAAGGCTATTTAAGCTAAGGGAGAATGGATCCAAACAAATGAATTCCAAGCAAATTGCTCTGGTGAAATTATCTAGCAAAAGTTATAAACAACAAGGGTGGCCACAAATCAAATGAACATTGCAGGGCCTGTATGCATTTATTTGCAAAATAAAATTGAAACTTTAATTAAGAATAAGAAATGTTGACTCTTTCATCCAAAATCTTCCCCAGTAATTTAGAAAATTTCAATTTCAACTTAGTGCACTAATTTTTTGACAGCTTTCTTCTTCTCTAAGCAACCAGCTGTCCTGTTGCCATGGCAACAGATAAGGCTTTATGAGCACCCTTAAAGAATTCCGTTACTGAACAATAGTTTCATCCAGATATTAAAAAAATCCCCAATAGTGAGTCTGAGAGTCCTATAATCTTGTGTTATTAAAGGCACTTGCTTTTCATTGCAGAAAACCCTTTCAAGCATTTTGTGGTATAATATGACCGATGATGGGTTCTATGAACAGACTTTGAGCAGCAACTTACTTTTAAGAACAAACAGGTCATTCAAGTAAACAGGGTCACTAGTGGATTCACTGTGTTCGCCACCAAACCAACTCCCACTGCTACCACCAAAGATGTACGCCTTCTTGTCAACAACCGCTGCTGCATGACCCTGCCTGAGAAACACACAATTTTCACCCTCTTGATGAACTCCTTTTTGATTTTTGCTATCAGATAATGAGTACCACTTTTACAACAATAATTTTAAAATGAAAAAAGGAAGCGTTCAATTTGCATTTCAAACATCTAACTCTTTAACAACCAGAAGAGATTAGCAAGTAACTT